AAAAATAATGAAGGTTATAATTTTCTTTAGTAAAAAGCTTAGCAGAGTTCTTTGATTGTTCGAGGATCTAGATCATCCATGGCATGGCCTTTTGGTATTACGACCATATAAGTCGATTATACTTTAGAATATTTTTATTTTTGACAAATTCGCTTTTGTTTACTGTGTTGTTTACTAGAGTGAACCGGCGTGACAGTTATGAACTAATTTAATTCGTAATTTATATACACAAATGATGTATTAAAATTTCAAAATATTAAGTATAAAAAGGTATGTCCAACTGCACTGTGGAACATTCTGCTCCTCAGCAAATTGCTGAGCCTGGGCCAATTACGGCCACGGCACACACGCATTACACACAAGAAACGAACCGAATGGAAAAAAAGAATTTTTTTTTGATATCTCTCATCATTATTTATTTTATATTTTTCTTTGATTATTATTTATGTGAGCTTATGTGTGTAAGTTTTTGTTAGTAATAAATGTTATATCTATGTCTGACTTTCATGACGTTGACTATGCTGTCAACATAACAAAAAACGTTATTAAGTTCTGCAGCGATCTTAAATCCCACGACGGTTCACTTCACAGACTATACAAATACTTTATCGATTCGCTGAAAGCAACCTAATTAATATTTCTTCATAATTTTGTTTGAAACCCCAGAACAGCAGTCAAGACTCGACTTTAAAAGATCTTACGCTACTCTGTGCTATTTGATTAGCTAGTCTATAGTACGCTCAATACAAATTTTTCTATATAAAAAAACTTTCAAAAGTAAACAAGTTTATATAACTGTTCGCTTTGATTTTAGGTCACTTTTTATAACACCTATCTTATCATAACTCAATTTTAATTTGGTGAATATTAAGCTCTATTCCATTGTTATAACGTCTATATTTTTATGAAATAAATTTTCACAGGCCCATGTGAAGTGAGCTATAAACGGTGGCATGCTAATAGTGTGAACACAAATTGTTAAACAAACTTTGGTAATAGAATAATGAAGGAGAAATTACGTGAAGGTATAATAGGAATTAATTTGAAAGTATCAATACTTAAAATAAGCTGGTTTAATTATTAAAGAATGAACTTATGGTGACGAAATAAGCAAACGTGAACTTAGTTATATTTAAATTGACGTCCATTGTCCACAACAGGGATTTTTAAGGTAGTTTTAACGCGCTCCGCAATTTGAGGAACCAGCTATCCATTGAAGTAAATAGAAAATAAAGACCAGCAACGCATTTGCATTCTGGCAATGTGACTGTTCATGGGCGGCGGTATCTCAACATCAGATGAGCCTCCGCGTATGCTTTTCGAGGCAAAACTCTCTTTATATAAAAATTAATTGATATTTTTTGAAAAATTAGTTCTTACTACAAATTAAGTATAACTTATTTTTTCTCATTAGCTTATAGTATTTTTGGTTGTTCTATTACCATGACTGTTGTAAGGGATTACTATATATATATATAGTATGTATTGTAAAATTATTAGAGAACTTTTATTTCTTTGATAGTCAATAGATTTCACCGAGATATATACCGAGTTAGTTGTTGTACATTTGTAGTCGAGCCGTGTTTAAAATCAATTTCCTCTCATAAAACACACTTGGAGCCCGTCAAAGCTGACATTTCACACATCTATGTCAATAATAAGGTGCGTTTACATTATTCTTACTTAAAATCCGGTAATATTGACAATTATTTATTTGACACGATGAAAATTAGTGTTATTGAGAGTTATTTGTATAAAACATAATAATAAGTTGTAATTATCATAAATTTATAAAAAAATCGATAGTTATAAATATTGATTTTATATGTCGGTCACGTGACAGATTATTACAATCGATCATGACGCTATAAAAAATACGTATTATGCCAGTGAAAAATGTCTTCGCCTGTACTGTAATACTGTAATAGAGTTTAATTTGGTCGGAGACTGTTTTTAATTCAAAATATATATGTGGTTCTGTGTAATTTAAGAATGACAATTAACACGGAAGACTTGACGTTTGTTTACGTGTCTACTGCCATGGTACATCATAGGGATTGGTGCGACGCCATCTTGCCAAGAGCGTTTTGGCGGGATCTTTAATTTTTTAAAGTCAATAAGAAACAGAATTAAATATTTTATTCCAATAATAAGAATTTGTGTTGGTTCTTTCACTAATAAACAATCTGAAATGGTCTTTAAAATCTTGTCAAATAGCCCATTACAATAAGGTATGTTTTTTTACTTTTTAAAAGGCTTGCTAGCTTACTAGGTTAAAATTGATATTAGTGTACCTGTTTCTAAACTATCAGTTTGCTTGAGGACAAAGTGTGTTTTTGAAACACCTTTTCATGTAACAGCTGAAGTAAATGAAATGAGTTTTTATGAAATTTTATAATAAAGCCTTTGCTGACTTGAAAATCGTAAGTATAAGTTGTGATAACATTGTTAGATTTTGAGTGATATAATTTAGCTTATGATTTTATTAGGAAAATAAATAAAGTAAAATATAGCCCCTTGTGGGGCCTCCACAAGTATATTTTGCCATCGCAAACTGTTTAGTGCTTCTTGTGTTCAACTTCGAACCCCTATTGTTTCAAGGTCCTTGATAACTCCATCACACCAACGCAGCCTCGGTCAGAAGTCTAGTTATAGCGATTTAAAATTCCTGGCGTTCAATGATGAACAAATGATAGAAAACAAATTCTCCCCTATAAATTATAGTATAACCTCTTACGTTTTCACAGCTACCTTCAAAATGTTGCAATAAGCATTATCATTTATGTTTAGCTCACTCGGCAAATTAGTTATAATCGGATATTTTTAGTTTGTAAGTATTTTGTTATTACAAAGCATGAATAGAAAAGATAGTTTCTAAAATAATAAGGTTTAATTTTTATTTGTTTCTGGATGTAAGATTTTATTTTACCTTTTTACTTAAATTATGTTCTTATAGATTAAAACATGATTTATTTAATCGATTAACCTATTCGATTATTGATTTAAATTTGTTTTAAATTATCGTAATTTAAATTTCCCGAACTGGTCGGAACTTCGATTCAAAGTTGCCATGTTAAATCCTTATTCGAAAATTCGTAATTTGTTTATTATTTAATTGGTGCTTATAATTATATATTTGAAGTGAATTTTCCAGCCAAAAAGCTACAAATAAATCTCGTAAATGGCACCAGCATGTAGACACCTTTACAAGATTTGACTTATGGCTACACCATTCTTGTTCAGCAAGATCTTGCTTATTATATTACATAACGGGATAAGTGTCATCAGTAAATATGAATGTTTTACTATCGGATTCTTAAACCTTTTATTATATATAATACAATTTATTTTACCAAACATCGAAAGTGGTGTTAAAGTTTCTGTTTTAATTTTAAATTGTTATAATTTAATAATATTATTGCTTCATTATTGTTTGCCTAGTGGCTTCAGCGTGCGACTCTCATCCCTGAGGTCGTAGGTTCGATCCCCGGCTGTGCACCAATGGACTTTCTTTCTTTGTGCGTATTTAACATTCGCTCGAACGGTGAAGGAAAACATCGTGAGGAAACCGACATGTCTTAGACCCAAAAAGTCGACGGCGTGTGTTAAGCTCAGAGTGATCACCTACTTGCCTATTCGATTGAAAAATGATCATGAAGAGATTCAGAAATCTGAGGCCTAGACCTGAAGAGTTTGTAGCCACTGTTTTTTTAAATGCTACAGATGATGCAAGAAGATTGATAACTACATATAAAATTATTATAAATTGTATATAATCTGATAGCTACAAAACATGCAACAAATTAATCCTTGCCAAGTCTAACGAAGGCTTCGCGGGACTCAGAACTATAAGTAAAGCTCGTTAGTGTTTGCATTTTCAACAATTCCTGCTTTAAATGCCTTTAGAAAAATATGACTGATTTTCTAAAGTATTAAAAATTTATGTAAATTTTTCTAACAAGCAACGCTAGAAATGAAGAACCTTTCTTACCACATACCTTAGCTTCTAGTTCACTTAACTTATATTACGAAAGTAGAACATCACGCACAAGAGCTTCAATTTTGTAAAAAATCATACACAAAATACAACGCGAAATCCTCGAGCCGTCTAAAGTGCACTGCGACATTGTTAAAAAAATATTTTTATACTCCGAGTGCGCCTAGATTAGCTTCTCAGAAGCCCTCACAAGCCACTTCGCTGGAAAAAGTAATTTTTCACAAGAGACATGTACAATATTGTAAACTTTTAATTGACCTATATAGCCCGGCGGAGCGCTAGTCCCATGACATCATGGATGACATAACACAAGGAATGCTTCCCCCCATTTAATACTCTTCAATCCCTAGTACACGTGTGCCACTCAAGGTCTCGCTACCCTGTAGTACATCCTCTCATGTTTGCAATTAAAACGAAAACCCGACCGGGACGAGGATATACGCGGTAAACAAGAGGAAAAGGGACGCCACTTCTCATTTACCCGAGCACTTTTTATTTCAACTTGCACTCAAGGGAGGTCGTCGGCCAATCAACGTAGTGTGCCGCGCCCGTTCTCATTGGCCGGTTTGTATAGAGAATGCCAAAGAACAAAAGCTGAGGGTAGGTAATAGCGAGTTTTGTTTCTTCGAGTGGCTTCATAAGTTCATTCGAGTGTTAGAACGCCTGAAGAACGGACGTCTCTAGACTAATTACCTAAGTTACATGCATTGTTTACGAGGGCTCTTGCGCTAAGCTCCCTTCAATTGTCAGGGCGATGTTTAACATTGTTATTTATTGTTCGGAAGTCGTTGTCGGTTCTTGAGCTAGGAAATGTAAAACAAGCAAATTAGCTATGTTTGTTCTAGCGATCTTGGATGTTTGCGCGCCGGGCTTTAATGTTGGCGTTCGCTCATGCGACTTGGCATCCTGTGATTTTGCTAATGCAAGTTACACTTCAAATATTTGTTAATTTGCTTTTAATTTATTGGTTTACATTTGTGTTTGCGTTGAATCTGGTTTTTCAATGGGCTTGGGGTCGAGTACCTCAGCATACAATTGGTAATGAGGATTGTCTATACAAGCTTTTAATACGCAATATAATGTAATAATTTGGAAGTCAACATTAAATATAAATAGTTGTACTGTATTTTGGTTATTAATTTTTTATATAACCTATTACATCGTAGCAGGTTTGGAACTATTATCAAGCTGTATGTTTCCATAAGCCTCTAGGCGTTGTAAGATAAAACGTATCGTCAGTTAGTCCAGCCACAATAGAGTACTGAATCACATACCATACTGTAAGTATGAATACTTACAAACCGTCTTATAGGAAACTTGTAATTATATTACTTGTCTTTTGAACGGGTTTTGTTAATAACTCCAAACGGCTGGATTGTGCATTGAAATAAGTAAGGATTATTTTGATGCCTTATAAAGATGGCACTATAAATATGGATCTTTCACGAAATAAATTATGTCTTTTAAATTTGTTACCCATAGCTTATTGTCTGATTTCTGTGAATTGGAATGGCTCTTTCTTATGTTATCCTTTTTTTACGTTCATATAATTTCAGCTTTTCATAACTTTTTGCCGATACGATACCGATGCCGATAGTATTATTGAAATATCGTCGATACCGATACCAACGCTATTAACTATAAACAGTTACAGACTTTGAATAACATTAAAGGTTTAGTTATTAATATTATGAATTAAATTAAAATAAATACTTGTTAATAATTAAAATTAATATTGATTATTCTGAATTTTATTAAATTTGGTATCGAAAAAATACTACGCGCGATAGCAGTTAATGGCCTACTAGAATGTCTAGCGAAATGGAATACGCGGGGATAAAGCGGGTAAGAGAGACTACAAGCTGAATAAAACCTGGGGATTCCCTGGGCATAGATAGTCCGTGCCTCGGTTGCAATCTTTAAAGCGCGAAAAGTATCGTTGTATCGGCAATTAAAATATCGCCGATGCCGATATATATGCAAACCCAAAGTATCGCCGATATATCGGTATCGGGATCGGTATGTGATGAATCCCTAATTAAGACCAATAATTATCATTAATCAAAGATATCTACGAAATATCCATAGGCTGTTTATGTTATTCGCATTCAAAAATTTTTTTTCAGGAATCTGGCAGCACCAGTTCTCTCACCAGCCAGTAATACATCAGTGGAGGCATTTCCAACTCTACATAAAGAGAACTGCCATAGTCTGGAGTACTTGGTGGACCGGCAAAGGCAGCTTTGTATGCTGTCTGATAAAATGGTGCAGGTATGGTCATTTATATTTAGTGAGAATTAGGTTAGTTTCGTATCTAATTATACTTAATTGTTGCTGATAACGATTAACGACCCGTGTACATAATTAATACACACCGTTTTCAATAAACCTTTTTAGCTGACCCGGCAAACGTTGTTTTGCCATGTATATTATTTCTAGGAACTATTGTTTTAGTTCAACAAAAATAACTATTTACAATTATAAGAAAATAGGTGTTGATCGTAGAGGGGTGAAAATTAAGGGTTATATGTATTTATGTATGCTGTAATATGTCATAAAAAAATAAAAACAAAAAATCTAATAAATAAAAAACATTGTTTGGGGTGGACACCTCTTATCACTTAGAGGTTTGAAATATAGTTAGTAGCCGATTCTCAGACTCAGAAAAATTTCATAAGAATCGGTTGAGCCGTTTCGGAGGAGTATGGGAACGAACATTGTGACACGATTATTTTTTTATTTCTTAACATAAATTTGTAATATCCTGTAAAATTCCATTAAATAATTCATAAATTACCTTATACGGTTAATGAATATTCCTGATATATCTACTCCAAGAACTACTATGTAGATGAAATTATAAAATTGATTGTGTTTAATCTAGTATTCTTGCACATGTGTTTGATAAGGAAACCAATATTTATCAGAAAAAAAACATACATTTGAGGCTGAATAAGGGAAATAAATATAGAACCAGGCCCCAAAGTCATAGTAGCAGAATATTAATGAAAAAGAGTACTTATAGCAAAAAAAACAACTTAAATAATCCTTATCCAGTGGCGTAACAACGTACATTGCGTATTCAATGAATATTGAGAAAATAATTTATTTTAATTTATAATTGTTAAAAATAATTTATTATTATTAAAAAAAAAAATTGTGCCTTTATTCTATTTTGGTTAGAACATGTCGTGTTGTCCTTTAATAAACTTGCAAGATTTAATTGCGCTTACAGAATAATACCGCCGGGATTCGAACGTCATGAGGGTTAAAAGGTCCTAATTTAAGTTAAATAACGGTTTCAGATATTTATTTCTCATAAAGAACATTACCAAATTTACTTATTAATGAATGGTATATTATAATTGTAAAAAAAGTACAACAGCAGGCGAAAAACAAAAGACTACTTACACACAAAAGAGAGATAAAATAATACACAACAACAATGGATCATAAATACAATTTATTGTCAGTATAAAGCAGAATAGATAAAAAATAATTAAAAATATGTATACCAACAATATACTATGGTCTAAAGCCGGGATTAGGTCGACTACACTAAATTGTAAAAAATAAATTTCTAGATTTCTCTGTTATCCCCAAACCCTAAATCGAAAGTACGTAAAAGGCCGACAACGCACTTGCGAGCCTTCATGCAATGTGAGCCTCCTGTTACATTAAAAAAAAGTTATTCCTCCAAACATTTCAATGAAAATCTAAACGGGTAATTATGGAATTTAAAAATAACGTCTTTATGTAGTCGGTTAAATATAAAGTTTCAATTAACGGCTCATTAATTAGCCATTAAGTTTGATAATCTCGTTAAATGTCTGGTTTTACTCCAACGCTTGGGAATTGCAAATTGGATAGAAAATACTTGAATTGAGCAACCATTTAGGTTCGATTTCTCATTAATGCTCTTCAATAGGGTTGCTACACAATATAAGTAGTATTAAAAAAATATATATGTAAGGAAAACATAATATTTAATATTTTCCTATACAAACTCTTTTATATTTTATTTTTCTTCTTTGCCGTCTGATCGACGATGTTTAATTTGTCACTTGACATAATAGATGTAAGATGTTTTAATTTTTTTCATTACATTATTTTATTTTATAAAACCTAAAATAGAGGCTTTAAATGTTGTTTCTTTTGTATTCACAGGTGAGTGAATAATTTGTAAATATATATTTTTCATTAAATGTAAATTAATAGATATTTCTTTAGTAAATAAATCTTTTGTATTCACAGAGAAACGCAGTTGCGCCTTGTTTATCCCCAGTACTCGTATAAGCGATCGATACCATTATATATATATTTAGCATTTTTTTATTGTATCAAAGCTTAATAATGTCAATCTCCCATATATGTTTCTTTATATGTATTTCAAAATTAATTGGTTGTCGTTTATTAGAGAAAAGACTGCCAATGTTATTTCTATATATAAAATTCTCGTGTCACAATGTTCGTTCCCATACTCCTCCGAAACGGCTCGACCAATTCTTATGAAATTTTGTATGCATATTCAGTAAGTCTGAGAATCGGACTACATCTATTTTTCAAACCCCTAAATGATAAGGGGTGTCCATCCCAAAAAAATATTTTAGACGATTTTTTGTTCTTATTTTTTTATAATACAGCATACAAAAATACACACAACCCCTTATTTTCACCCCTCTACGATCAACCCCTATTTTTTATTATTGTAGATATGTAGTTATTTTTATTGAATTAAAAAAATGTTTCCTAGAAATAATATTCACCGCAAAACAAAGTTTGCCGGATCAGCTAGTTATGATATAAATTTCAATTAGTTGTAAAAGTAGATAAATAAAATAACTAAGTTAGGTAATTACAGTGTAAGTGTCCATGGGCGGCGGTATCACTTAACATAAGTTGAGCGAGCTCATTAAAAAAAAATATTACTAATGAAGCTAGAACAGACATAATTACGAATAACTAAATAAAAATAATGATTTCTATTTATATACCTACAATAATAATACCTGGCAACACAGATCTTATTAATATAGACATTTTAAGTTGAGTTTTTATTTGTGGCAACCTTAACGTATTGTAGATTCAAACGATAATTCTGTCGGTAACCAGCCACTGTACTTTAATTGTTAATTTAAATGTTACCATACAATAAAACAATGGCTATATCAAGTGATAGAAATCTCTCAACTAATTATAATTAAAAAAATCCGCAGAATCAGCCATAAAAAAGTAGGCATGCAAATGTTATATTAATAATGTCATATAATAAGGACATTAACATAATGTTATAATAATAAGTTGAGTTATTTAGAATTGTTATCAAACTTAGGGTCTAAATACTCCCCCACGCTATAAAGGCATATATGGACATTCGTATTAATAGTATATAGTTTTAATTCGCTTTCCAAACGCAATTCTAAATAGGCTCTCCGAATACTTTTTGCTATTACTATCAGACAATTCTAAATCGCTGATAATTTGTTATATGTGTGTTCCTTCTTGAAATTCGAATTGGCTGTTAGTGGCTGTTAGTGGAACCGGATGGAGGAGGAATCTGTCTAACAAACCAAAACCTGACATTGTATTTTACCTACTTTTAAAAGTTATTTCCATATAAATGAAACTTTAATGTTCATAAGTAAGTTTTGGAAATAAAGACTGTTAGGGTAATAATAATAACACTTTATTTATATCACAACACAAAACAGGACAAAACAAAACAGCACAAAACAAAGCATGTTAATGAGCGGTCTTACTCCTAAAAGCAGTTTCCTTCAGACAACGAAACGTAAATAATATAAACATTAAAAATACGAAACCGAAACTACTTTAAAAATAAAATATATTAAAGGTTTAATGATACACTGTTTATTGTTTCTTAAATGTAAGGTCTGCCCAAGCAGATAATTTCACAATCGTATAGCAGTGACGGTGTAGTGGGAATCTAAAAAGTTAGGGTTTTATAGTTACAAAATAAAGTTTTCATTAGCTAAAGCTAAAAAGCTCTCACATTATTTAACGCTTCCTTTATTTATAAATAATGCAGCTAGTTAGTAAATATAACGGTCACTGCAAGAGATTCAATAAAAAAAATTAAAAAGAAATAAAAAAACCGTATAATATATATTTTAGTTAATAAATAAATCATTGGACGCTTGAAGCCAAAATGAGCCCTTTAGTTTTTCCCACACTCATAAATTGTAATATAACATCCTCGTTTCCGATAATGTCTAATAGGTCGACTATACTTGTATTCTTTATAGGTAGCATAAGTGTCACTTAGATTTAAGAACCTTTAAATAAGCCATTTGTTTTTGTTAATCCAGCGTCGCGAATACCCCTTATTTTATGTTAGTTATAAGCTCATGTAAACGATTAAAGCCAGTTGACCCACAGCTTTAAACAAAGAGTTTGATTTGGCATAGATTTGAACATCCCTCCAACAACCTCCACCTAACTTAACTAATGCAAATAATTAAGGGTTAATTAATTAATTAATAAGGTTAAGGTTAGTTAATTAATTATTTAATTAATTAATTAATAAGGTTAAGGTTAGTTATCGTTTTTTGTTATTACCTATATAAATATAAATTGTAGATCCATAAATCTATTACATTTTTCATACATTTTGATGTTGATTATGGGCTAGAATTTGTTTTTGTCATTACGTCAATAATATTCACAAATCTTATCGCAATAGACAAGCAACAAACGCTCTTATATTAATAAGTACGTTACATAATTAGTATTATTTTACGTTAAAATAAAAAACGTAAATAATTAAAACCAATAAAATTAAAGACTAATACATATGTTAAACCAATTTCATTTCACTTGTACGCTAAATAAATGTTCGGAATATACTTTTTTATTTACATTCTTATTATGGTTATGACTTATGTTAATGTGCAATGGTTCGTACTGAGTTTATGCACACATCCGTTCGTTTCCTTTGATGTCTCAACCCGCATAATTTTGTATGCGTTTAGTAATGAATTGAAGTACTTAGAATATGCTTATATTGGTCCCGGTTGGGGTCCATTCTACTAATAACTAAGAAACAACTTATTCTATATTGTTAATTAACTAAATTACATACATACAAAAAAACGTGTGTGTACTTATGTACACGCGTTAGAAGTTATACTTCTTTGGCGTAACAAGATAAAAATGTTATTCTACGTTTGTAGAGAAAACGACACTAACAATAGAAAAAAGGTATTTAATACATTGAAAGTTTTATTATAACGCATTATATAGTTAAATAACGTTTATTTAAATATCACGAAAAACTATTTCTACATATAATAAAACACTATTTTGACCGGATTAAAGTTATGTATTATTATAAATTTACAACTATTTAACATAATTTTAAATTTATCCGACGTTTCGTTTAAATGAATAAAAGTTATGTTAATCAAAGACAATACTATATTTCTACATAATTAAAGAAATGGACATTTTTTATTTTAGCATGCAACTTATATTGATATTTACTATTTAATTTACGTCCATTGGTTGGAGTTCAGTAGACATGTGAGTTACAAGAGGCTTATGATAGCTAAAGTATGATACAAATATTCTTGTAGAAACATTGTCTAAATATCGTACAAATACAGCATCGATAGTTGTATAAAAAAAAAACTATAATAGCTAACTTCAGGGTGTCTGTTTTTTGTGACGGTGTGCGCGCGCATCGTAAAAATTTACTGTCATCATTTTTTCCTAACGCGCCAAAAGAATTATAACTTCAATAGAACAATTATATAACGAGAATGTAATTAAAATAACGAGATTAATTTAATATTGCTGGATGTTAATATATTTGTAAGCTAAGTACTGGCAAAGCTATATTTTTTCAAAAGTCTATTGTTTTAATGTTTTGTTTATAATTGTATAATTTAAAGAGACATTTTTGACTTAAAACGCTTTCTTATCTATCTAATCTTACTGTAATGGATTTCAGGTGCTTCAAACAGGTGCAACGCAAACAGTCGAAGAATGCCAACATCAGTTCAGGCACAGCAGGTGGAATTGCAGTACCGTTCAGAACTCTACTGACATTTTTGGAGGGGTACTTAAATTTAGTAAGTGATGGTTTAATACTTTTATTAGTAATTATATACTAACTCCCAGTAGTGCAATCCCGACTGAAATGTTGAATTTTGTACCGTGCGCTCTCAAACATCAGCACGGAGATTGAAATAACTATATCAAAGTTGCATACATCGGGATGGCTATTAGAATTACGGAGTACCGACGCAGGCTCTTTCAATGTATGCGTTGTGTTGTAACACATTTTTATAGAAAGATTTTCGTAGAATATCGTGAGAAATGCGTTTCAGCTAAGGCCTGTTACTCTGTAAAACCAAAACTGTTTCAATAGACTCAATAATTACGTTTACTAACATGTCTAGTGACGACATTTAACGACAACCCAATTTTGATGTATATTGTAATAACTCCCTTATTTCTTAATATTATATTTGAGTTAGGAATCGCAGAAGGGTTTTTTTCAAACGAGCTTAAAGTTAAGGAAAAATCATTCTCTGCCCGTTTGTTGCTAGAATGTTTTAAACTTTATGAAACCAGCCAGCATCCCAGGTCTGTCAGAACCGTTACTACTTAAGGGGACACAATGGGGTCCTGATGTTGCAAGAAATGGGAGGCGGTTCGCACCTAACTCTAGATGACCAGCCCGTTCACTTCTGTCCCATAAAAAAGCTAACGCCATCTTTGATAACATAAAATCATTTCAACAACCATTATGTTCCTCGCTAAGCTCCAACCTTTTTTTAATACGATGCGTACAAAATTAGACAATTTCACAGTACCATACATAAACAGTGAAGGATCAAAGCCGCGTGCGCCTTTGAACTCGCATCCTTTGTGATGTCAATTATTGTTAACAGGTGTCCGAATGTCTTAAGATATTTGGAGAAATTAAACTTTGTAACAAACATAAATAGTTATTGTCTTAAGTTCCAGCGAGTACATGTCGTTCGGCAAAGTTGTATTGCAAATTTTCAATTCTTCAGTTTGTCTTCTGTGTTTTTGAAAACCGAGAGATGGAATGGATTAAAATCGAATTACCTCTAGTAACGGACCTCTCCATGGAGGTAATTATATTTTACCAAAATTAGAAAGAATATAATTACAATTTAAACACGAATTTATTAAAATATTTACATAACTATTAGACATTGTTTTTCGGAATGTTGGTCTAGTGGTTTAAACTTGCGACTCTTACCCCTGGGGTCGCAGGTTCCATCCCCTGCTGTACCAATGGACTTTCTGTCTAAGTGCGCTTTTAACACTAAATGTAAATAAAAATATGTCGACGGTGTGTGCCAGGCACAGAAGGATGATTACATACTTGCCTATTAGAAATTATCACGGAACAGATACATAAATCTGAGGTCATAGGTCATACCTAACAGGTTGTAGCGCCATCTATATGGAATTTTTCAGCTGTAATCCTATGAAATCGTTTAGATTTCTTTTCCCTCGCAGCTGTAAAACATTTTCATTACGATTTGATCGATAGCTTCAGTATTCTAGCTCCTATATTTAGCAATGTCAGACCAATAAATGAGCTTCAAATGTTCCTACACAGTTCAGAGTAAATTCATCGAATATAATGTTCTTCGTCTTATAAATACTCTACAGACTTCAAACCAAAAATAACTTCATGACTCCGTTTTCTAGTTTAAAGCCCACACTTCAAGACATTCATGGAATCATTTGTTTTGTTTATTTTTACTTGTCTAATACATGTGTACTGATGGGTTTACTCAGTAAAGCCAGAACGTCTTGACCCTTCATTGGGTTATCGATTGATGATGTGTCAAACAAAATGCGATGATGCAGGGGTCATCTAATGTGGCTGTCGGTCAGTGAACTGTTCAAAATATACTAGATAATACATGGGCTTGTGTTTATCGATTATAAACTTGTAAAAATATAACTGGACTGTCTTGCAGCTAAAGTATTACCTTCTAGCCGTTTTGGTGTTATAATAATTTAAAAGCAGACATGTCAATAGAAAAGAGTGTGTGTACTAGTAACACGTTAGAAGTTATACTTCTTTGGCGTATGGAAAAAAATAACTAAAATGCAGTAGTGATTAACGATAAATATTAAAATTAATCAATAAAATTATTATTAGTAAATACTATCACCGTCGTATATGAAATTGATTTAATAAAAATACCAAAATAATATTTATTTATTCACACTGTTTAATTCTACTGTTACGAAACACGTGTTCTTAATATAAAAATACTAGAATATATAACTTGAACATAGTTATTATCGATTTTCATGCCACCTAGAACTAACTTCATTCTGTTAATTTTGTGTCACGGTGCGCGCGCATCGTAAAATTTCACTCTCATCAATTTTTCATAACGCGCCTAAAGAAGTATAACTTCAAAAAACATTTGCATAGTTTTAAATTTCTATACCCACCATATTTTCACTTCCACTGAATTCGAATGAAGATTTTAAAGTCACAGAAAATGGCTGAAAATACGTTTTTTATTATTTCAGAGTCTCGTGAAGCAGCATTTGTCCATTCCTTATCATCAGCTGCCCTTGCCCATGCTGTTGCTAGAGCCTGTAGCCGCGGTGAGCTGAATGAATGCTCCTGTGATTCCAGGGTGAGGAAACGGACTCCGAGACATTGGCAGTGGGGTGGCTGTTCTGAGGTACTGAATAATTCCAATATTATTATATTTAATGTGTCGAGTCGACTTTAGGTTAACGGGTCGTTCCGTATATCTAGGGAACAATTTTAAAACAGTGCCATCTATTTTTCGTAAGTCCAACCATTATGTTTTTAATATTATTTTTACGAAGTGGTTGGTTGCACAAGCTGTTACAATTTATAAGATATCCCGTTGCGTAATTTAATTTTCCACGATTTATATTAATTAATGTTCTAATTTCCTTCAACTATTAATATTAATCCTATTATTATTAGTTAATTTAGTATTGGTTAGTATAATTCTAGTGTTACCTATAGCTATGTTTTATTTATTGATTAATCTTGTAGTAGTTTTTTATTTTTCGTTCGCCTGGATGAAATCGCTGCTACGATAAACGCCGCCCTAATAACATATCTAAGCTGTTTTTTTATGTATGTTTAAGGTAACGAAGGGTAAATAAAAATATTTTATATTTTAGGATATCAGATACGGAGAGATTTTTAGTCGAGATTTCATTGACGCGAAGGAAAATAAGGAAACCGATGAAGGATTGATGAATTTACACAACAACGAGGCTGGACGGCGGGTAAGTGAATTATAGCTTAATCACCACTTATCCTATTAGAATTCCTTTAAGTAAATAAATAACTAGTGTGTCATGTGTGTGTTGGTTTATTCCGGCCGTAGGTGAGAGCGTTTTGTTCGATAAAATAACAATTGGTGTAGGTATATTGCGCAATATTTTTAGAAGCCCTAGATATTTGTCCACATGTCATAGCAGTTAATGGCAAACTGCTGAAAAACTTAAGATACGCTGATGACACGATCTTAATCGCACAGAGCCTCGATGGTCTACAGACACTCAATTCAGTAGCCGCCGTGAGTTCTGAATTTGGTATTAGCATCAATGTGAAGAAGTGAAAAGACATGACAATAAGCCGAACACCGGAGCTTTTCTTGGAACGTGTCTCGAAAATACGATATCTACATTGATTGATAGAAAAGATGACCATGGCATCGAAATCCGTTGTAGAATGGAACAAGCGTGAAACGCCTTTTCGAAACTAAAAAAGGACTTTATGACAAGTGCCTAAATCTATAACTTAGAGCGCGATGTTACATCTTCTCTACGGCGTAGAATCTTGGACGCTGACAGAGACTCTGTCCAAAATACTCGATGCATTCGCAATCTAGGTTTGTCGACGTATGCTTCAAATATCTTGGACAGACCGCATAAGAAATGCAACCGTACTAGACAGACTGCAGAAGAACAAAGAAGTGCTTATGATGGTTATGAAGGTAACACCAAAAAACACGAGCTCCTTCAACTAATCACAGGCAAAGTGGAAGTAGAAGGAGACCTGACGCAGACGCACGTCTTGTTGATGAGTCTTAGATAATGGTTTGGTCAAAGCACCAAATCATTGTTCAGAAGTGCGGCATCCAATTAACCATGATGATCGCCAACCTTCAAAAGGAGATAATATCGCTATTAGAAGAAGTTGGACTGTCAAACTATTTAAACGAAATTTTAATATTTCAAAGAAGCCGTAACGGAGAATAATAACGACGTTTATCGTAGTAAAAATAAGATTTTTTAGGACCATACTAAAAGTACAAGTTATTTAAACATAATTCTAAATAATCTGTGTTTCAGGCGGTCCGTGGTCGTATGCAACGTGTGTGTAAATGCCATGGGATGTCTGGGTCGTGCTCTGTGCGCGTTTGTTGGCGAAGACTGCCCCAGTTGAGGTTGGTGGGGGACGCTCTCTCCACGCGGTACGAAGGCGCATCGCATGTTAAGGTAATATTAATTTGTATTATTATAATATGTCGTTACATAAAAAAAGGGTGCGTGTACTTATGTACGCGCGTAAGAAGTTATACTTCTTTGGCATTATTAAAAATAGTTTTTGATTGCATGCAAATAATTAATTACAATTAAATAATCAAAGACTGGACAAGGAGTCATTACAGTCAATAAAGTTTAAATTTGAAAAATTAAATAAATCAATATTTATTAATATTCTCTTACATTAAGTGTAACATAAATTCTATTATTATTTGAATGTTAGCATCTTCCGTTCAACTTCATTCTGTTAATTTTGTGTCACGTTGCGCGCGCACCGTAAAATTTCACTCTCATCAATTTTTCATAACGCGCCTAAAGAAGTATAACTTCAAAAAACGCAAACGGGCAGGTGGCTCATCTGATGTTAAGTGATACCACCCATAGACAAATTACTAGAGGGCTCGCAAATGCGTTGCGTTCAGAAATACTTCAGTGGGCAGCTGGTTCCACAGTGGTGGCGCGCGGCTAAATCTGCCTTAGGAAACGCTCAGTTGTGGAACTACGCACGTCGAGGTGATATGGGTGGAATTTAATACATACTACACAACCATATCCATACTCTATCCATAGTCTGGTCACGACGCGACGCAAGCAAGTATTGCATTGCCAAAAATTCGTAACAATAACGGCAAGAATATGGCTACTGGGGGACCGCACTATTTGATAGCCTGCCTCTCTATTACATATTATGTCAAAACAGTTTGTGCCTTTAAGAGGTGTGGCGTGATATGAGTAAATAAATGAAAGATTAGTGTGCTTTTGTTTGAAATTCATTTGTTTCTTTGAATATTTTTTTTAAAGTAGGAAAAGAAATAAATATTCGTTAACCATAATTGTTAAATAAAGGAATTCCCGAAAAGTGTATCTCGATTAATCGAAGATGTTTTCACATCCCACATCGTCGAACAAACATTGGTAGAAACTCTCCAATGAATAAGTTATGTCGCTAACAAAATGACAATGCACAAAGTTTTGACGTGTTTCATCGTTCTGGACTCGGCTTAGACTAGAATAAGAACACAGTATCGATAGTTCAATTCTTTATTCGAATAGTTTAATTATTTCTATAGTTTCTATTTTTGTTATTTTTATCGACTATGTGTTTGCGTGTTGATCCCACGAGAATGTAAGTGCGTGCTCCTATTTCACCATGCCTCCTGCTGATAGAGGACAAGTCTTTGTTTTTAATTTATGTTATTATTATTAATTACTTAAAATGTCACATGGGACATGGTGTAATGGTTGCAGCTCCTTACAAACATTTTGTCAAACAAAAAAATGGCGATTAAAAAGAGTGGCGGAGAGTTTATTGCGAGTTCTTCTCTCCCGTTCTACGCCCTTCATTTGAGAACTGGCAGTAAATGTAAAATTAGAAGCATTAATATGAATTTCTTTACTGACAATTCATAAGTGTACATTATGTTACCTATGTGATTATATGTTTTTTTTTGTGTTTGTCCTAATTTTGAAGTCCAAATTAAAACAAAATCAGTATGTATAGTTTCTACATTATAGTAATAATTTTCTAGTACTAAATATAAAACTGATATACTTATAATTATACGTAAATGTAAAATTTTAAGTTACAAAGTCTTTATTATAATTTGTGTTGTGATATTTCAGATAGTGGAGAGAAAAAAGGGAAAAAACATAAGGAAACTAAGACCGCTCCACGCAGACATGAAGAAACCAAATAAAACTGATCTTGTGTATTTAGAAGACTCGCCGGACTACTGTGAACCGAATGATGAGTAAGTAAAAGCCTGTATAGCTTTATTTTATTTCATAAAAATAAAACACGTTTAAGTGATTTTAATGAGCAGTGCTGGCCAAGCGGCTTCAGCGTGCGACTCTCATCCCTGAGGTCGCAGGTTCGATCCCCGGCTTTAACATTCGCTTGGACGGTGAAAGAAAACTTCGTGAGGAAACCGACATGTTTTAGACCCACAAAGCCGACCTACCTGATCTGATACCGTGATCACCTACCTACATTGAAAAATCATCATGAAACAGATTCAGAAATCTGAGGCCCAGACCTAAAGAGGTTGTAGCGCCACTGATTTTTTTAAAAGTGCTGGTGCACTTTCTTTATACCTAAACATCCTTTTTTATTATGTTTAATAATGTTTTTTCTTTCAATGTATTGTATTTATTTGTATGTAACGTTTTTTTTTAAAACAAAGGAATCCATTTCTTGACTATTTATATTCATTGTACTTGGTGTATAGTGAACACAAATGCCTACACTACTGAAACTTAGTAACTACATTGCATTTTCTATATACTTCAGAACCTTGCAAGCAATAAATCATTCCATAAATTAATTTTCAGACTCGGCATTCTTGGCACCCGTGGCCGGACCTGCAACAGGACTTCAGCCGGACTTGACGGCTGTCGGCTCCTCTGCTGCGGTCGAGGATATCAGACACGTGTCAGGGATCACGAGGAAAAGTGCAGATGCCGGTTTGTTTGGTGCTGCAGAGTGCACTGCGAGATTTGCCGGTCGAAGAGAGACCACCACGTTTGTAATTAGGCTTCTTAAGGAACTGATTGATGATATATATGCTCCAATAGTGTAGCTTTAGGATTTTGTTTAATTTTCCACGAAAGTAGTAATGGGTGTCCTAAGACCGTTCATGTCTGGTAATACAATGGTGGAGCGTACCGATTCGTAAAATGCCGGCAACGCAATCGCGAGCTCTCTGAGAGCCCATGGAGTATCACTTTAAAAAAATAAGTCAAAAATTTAAAAAGATCTTATCTTTCTTTTTAAATTCAAAATCAGTGGCACATATTTTCATTTTCGGTGACTTAGAAATTTCGGTTTTCTTTCACGTCGTCTATATACGTGTATACCAAAATTTTATCATTTGTTCCGTGGTGTTTTTATATAATTCCCAAACTTTTTTCATACATATAATAATTATTATTTATTACTTTGATTGCAGTTATTAAATTATAAAAAATTCCTATACGATCAACTTTATTTTCAAAACAAAAGTATTATTAACGGTAACTGTGGTTATTGAAATCAAGTTAACTACAACATCTATTCGAAAAGTAGCACATGTTTAAGTAAAAAAAATATCTCGCACAGTGTTCATGGGCGGCGGGGCGGTATCACTTAACATCAGAATAGCCTCCTGCCCCTGCCTGTTCTATAAAAAAAAATAACTATTTGTTTACTAGATACGCGTAGAATCGACTGATTAATTTGATATTATTTAGTGTTACGTCTCTTAAGCTTTAATATAATTTACAGTATTAACTTATTTTACTTTGTACAAAATGTAAATAGATCTTTGTTAATAATTTAAAGTGTTATTGATTTTTAAATTATTGCTATAATATAAAGGAATCTAAGTATCAATATTTCGTGCTTATTTAATATTAAGTATGTTTATAAATATTGTTGTTAAGTTAGTTTCAGGTTTAAAATTTAATTTTAGATTTTCTTCCTTCGGGTATTCACGGAGTGTATTTTGCATTAAAATAACCATATTAGGTCTTGTACTATTGTAAAGGTGTATCAATAGAATATTATATTTTCTACTTAACATCTTTTTATGTAAAAGTTAGTAGATTTGTTATCTTAAACTAAATTATGTTAGATTTACAACACATACCAACTGGAAACATGGGATTTTTGACAGCGGATCAATTGTGAAAAATTCAATTAATTTAATATGTAATAATGTAAATATTTGCAATATGTACTTAAGTTATTTTACGTTCTACCTCATATTAATTTCATTAATTTTCAACTAGATATAAAATTATAATCAACTTGTAAATTACTAAAAATACTATTAATTATTATTAGATCGTAATAGTTCCGACTATTGAGTAGTTTTTCGTATTTGTAAATACCATATACTTTAGGATTTGTAACTTCCCTTTTGATATAATTATTGAAGAAGAGATGTGGAGTTTACAAGCGCCTAAACTCTCTCTATTCCCAGAAAATGAATCTGTCTTATTGCAACTCACTCTTTTGTTTTTATCCTTCAGTCAGACAGTTATTAATTACATAGAGTAAAATACATTTTTGTATTACAATTCCAGTGGTAACTATATTTTTCTAAATTTGATTGCAAACAAAATAGTTCAAGATTTTGTTCATGTTGTAAAAGTTCTGGAATTAAAAAAACTGCATAAATCAATAAAATAAATTTAAACTTTATAATTTTCTGTAAAATTTTATGAATTAATTATGGTTAAAACTCACTTTGACAAAAAAATACAATGAAGTTATTTTTCATCCTTTGTAATAGTTTCACTCACAATTTCGCTGGATTTTACAAAAGGAACTGTAAAATATTTTTTATAAGTATGCTACCGTTAATAAGGAATTGAAATTATTTATTACTGTCCTAGATTATAGGTTCATTAAGCATGAAATTCTTAGTTACTCAATGTAAAATAAATGTATTTCAACCCTAATGTTTTTTTATTATCTTACTTCCACACAAAATACTGTACCTTCTTTCTAGATATTTCAATATTTTTTACACGCTTTATATTAGCTTCACCTGTATGTATGTATGTATGTATGTATGTAACCTACTCTTTCGGACTCGATTTTGACCCACTTTAAACGGACAGATTTAATTCAAACTTTGTACACTTATAAAGAATCAGCGACAATATAATAATTTCATAGGTTTATCTCGAAAAAACAATGAAATATTTTTTTAAGTCCACAAAGCAATACGATTGCTGCTAGGACTAAAAAGTGGAAAATAAATATAGTTTAAAAAAACAATAAAACACGCTTTTAAAGCACATCAAACTAAAAAGTGAAAAATAATTCCTAATTTAGGCTGAAAATGGTAATGAACAAAAAATACTGGTATTATTGTGAACAAGCGTGGGGCGCTCTGTGCCATATTTTTCGTCTATCTATTTTTTTTACGCGATTTTTATATTTAAAATAATCGATTATTTTTATAATTGAAAATCAATCATAGTCGATTTTTTATCTGCCACCTACCGACATTATGTCTGGTATTTTATAACCCGGACCTTGAACTATTAGGGATATTCGATATACAACGATGTTTACAATGCGATACATTGAATCCGATTCTTTGAAGATGTATTGTTTTTTTGTAAAACATCGAAAGGATGATAAAACTATAACTTAAAAGTAAAATAAATTTATTCAGCAGCACAAGACTACATACAATTAAAAATACAACAAAAATACTGCAATGTGCTACTGAAGAAATCGATTATTTATTAATCGATTTTTCATGCTAAAAAAATAATCGATTAATAAAAAATCGATTTTTTTATGCAGAATGTCACATCCCTACGGAGACGTCTTATCAGCGCAACGTTATTTTGGACACTGTTGGTTTTCAACCGTGTAGCCGAAAAGCGCAACTCGCTTTTATTTCGTTTCAAACCGCCGTTTCATACCGTGTAGCACATGCTTTAATCCGATGTTTCATTTTATAAGACCTACCTTAGTACAGGTATATGTAAATCATATATACGTACCGCTCCCCATACAATATGATTTGTATTGGTTATGGTTATGTTTTCAATTTTTTTTCAAAATTTTGTTTAAAGATACAATTTTAGCGGCATACGAACCCAAATAAATGATAGGATAACTTTGATTTGAATATTATAGAAATTGAGTAAAACTGACTGTTTTGATTCGCGTAATTTTGTGAGATGGCGCTTATTTGAAAATTGACATTTTAACTTAAACAAATATTGTTACATAATATATATTAAGAATGCAAAAAATTTAGGTTAGTTTTTCACTTCAAAAGTTTTTTTTACTTTCGAGTTTCGAGTTCTGTATACTGATAACAGATAACGCACTATCTCTACAACATCAACAATTAATATTACACTAGTTTCTTATACTTCCTAGAGATGGCGCTTATTTAATTTTTTGTTACTTCATAATAAAAATAGCAGAGCATAAAGTTAAAACTATTGCCATAATATTAAAAAAAAAGAAGAAAAAAAAGATAGCAGCCCTGCGATTCTGTGACTCACTTTTCGAACTCACACAGCGGTTTTCGCATCGGCGGTCGCTCTCAAATCTGTCGTGAAGCAGTCATTTTATGATTTGGCATTCTGATAAACAATAAACTACAAGCTCCCCCTTTTCAGAATGCCAAATCGTAAAATTGAAAAAAAAAGAGTTACAGAATCGCAGGGCAGTATTCATTATTTTGTCAAATAAACTTCAAAGCAAGCAGAATAACATTTAAACCAAACATTTGTTTTACTACTCTCAGTCTCATACGACCATAGTTAATTAATAACACTAACGGCTTAATGCTTTGTTTGTAAAAAATATTTGTTGACGTTGCCTTGATATATATACTTTAATATTACCGGGAATATTCTAAATAATCTACGGCGACAGGGGGCGATACGATATGCATCAAGAGACTCGCAGTGAGATAGCTAGAATTAAAAATAACATTTTTAAATGTTTCAATTAGTATACTTAAGGTGCGCTTACACGAGGGCAATAATTGCTCGGCAACACGAATGGACCGATCTGGAGCAATTAATGGAGCAATTTCAATAAATTATTTCGGCGATATTGCTTCTAATTGCTCCAGATATTTCATATCGCTCAATGTCGCAGATACGAATTGACGAATATCCAATGGACTTGGAAATTCCTAGCAACTTTTGTATATATCTCATTCGCACTTGTTTGTTTTGCGGCTTGCCGTCTTGCTTGCGGGGAGAGCGAGAGGTCGGGTGGAAGTAGGATAGCGCGCGGCAAGAGTCCAGCGCGTAGTCAGCCTCTGTTTGTTGTGTTATAAATAAATTAAAAATAAAAACAAAAAATACTAAAAGTCTAGAGGGCTAAAAGACTAGAGGACTAAAAGGCTGGAGGACTAAAAGACTAGAGTACTAAAATACTAGAGGACTAAAAGACTAGAGGACTAAAAGACTACAGTACTAAAAGACTAGAGGACTAAAAGACTACAGTACTAAAAGACTAGAGGACTAAAAGACTAGAGTACTAAAAGACTAGAGTACTAAAAGACTTTAGTACAATATACTAGAGGACTACAAGAATAGAGTACTAAAAGACTAGAGTACTAAAAGGCTGGAGGACTAAAAGACTAGAGTACTAAAAGACTAGAGGACTAAAAGACTAGAGGACTAAAAGACTAGAGGACTAAAAGACTAGAGGACTAAAATACTAAAAGTCTAGAGGACTAAAAGACTAGATATTAATAAAATATATTATTTAATTATTTATAAATTACAACTTAACTTAACTTTTATTATTATACGGTAAAAAAAAAGGAACACCGTTGTGTGAAAAATTAAATTATTAAATTATTTATAAATTAAATATCCTGACTTTTAAATTAAAATAACTTATTTATATATTCTCGAAGAACTTCTGCAATAGCTCTGCATACAGTAGGTACAAATAGTGCAATACAACCATCAGAAATTCTAAACAGATACATTAAACTTTTGTATGAATCTCCAGTTGCCAGAAATCTAAGGGTTAAAGCAAGTTTTGTTGATGCAGAAATTGGTTCTCTCATGTTGGACGTCTGTTTCTTAATTAATGGGCTAACTTTATTCAAAAGTAATTCAAAGTCTGTTCGTGACATTCTAGTAAAGTTTTTGAATAATATATCATCTAATTCTTTACATAATGAAAATTTTGTCCTCTTTGCCAAAAACGATCGCACCCAGATACGCCTATTCCTTTTCTTTCTTTTTTGTTTTTGATTAATAATAAAAAAAGCACTACAAGCCGCCGCAGCAAGAACGATGTCGTCCATAGCGAGCGAATACTGAATTGCTCGTGTAGGACAGTATTGCCTAGTTGATGAAGTTGCGCCATATCGCTCAATATTGTATTGCGCAGTATTGATGCTTGTTGCCGTTGCCGTAAATTGCTTGATGTAGTCGTGACGTCATAGTTGACGAGTATTGACTGGAATTGAGCAATTTTAGTTGCCCGTGTAAGCGTACCTTAAGCTATTATTGAACCATAGACATTTTCTGATATTTAGGTATAATCAAGGTCATCGCCAAAAATGCATTTGCACCTTATCCTTAGACAATAACTTTGTTTTCTTGGCCACCATAGATAAATAAATCTATTCTTTATTTTCCTTCAAAGTGGTATTATGATGGATAGTGGTATTAAAAAATACTTGCGCAATCAGCCATATCAAACTAGTAATCTAATCACTTCCTCTTAAAAACATTATTCGGTAGTGTCTTGTAACCTCTGGAATGCTGATTAAATAGTTTTATTGCAGTAGCTATTTTTTGGGTACAGCGCGGTGCTGTTTCTGCCTGGTAATGCTGGTACCTACAGCAAAATATACTACCCTAAATCTTAGAGTTAATTCGTTTTATTTATTCGTTCATTTTTAAAATTTGTTAAAGAAGCCTGGCCTCAAAATATATTTTTTAATTTAGGTTTTTTAAAGTTTTCTAACGTAACATAAGAGCTAAATTCGAACGTATAATTTCTTTATTTATATTTATTAGCCAAGGTTTTTATACTTAAGGATTATGTCTTAACTTAGAACAACATGATACGCAATGCAACTAACTAAACATTCACACAAAAAAATTCCATCAACATTTAAGGTACAATATATTATATATCGAAACTATGACATAGATTTCGTTACTATGAGACATTATTCAATAACCAAGATATATTGTTTTTCAATTACTATTTCAGGTATTTCCGGTGGCATAGATAAGATTATACATACAGTCAGTAATTAAAATATTGTCTGATAATGTTATTTTTTCAAGTAATTATTGAATTACAAATTATTGAGAAAACATTACATTTTCTTAGTCTCGGCATGTTATTTGGTCAGATTTTGCGTGGTAGGAAAACCGCTCGTCTTTTTATTAGGAAATTATTAAAACCTACTTATGAGTTTTGAATATTTAATAACACTCGCCAACGTATTTGCTTACACAATATAACATGTTTAAGGGGAAATTCATTGATTTTATATTTTTTTGTTTAAATTATTTAATTAAAACTTGATAACCTAATAAGAACTTTTACAATAATAATTCTGACATCAAAATATCAAAAGGTTGGTTCGATGAACTTCAATAGAATATTGGCTCTATTTAAATGGGATTTGTTTCGCAAACTGGGTAAAGGATTTACTTTAATGTATATTTTTTAAACGGTGGACGACAGATATAAATTACTTGTTATGTGCCGTACACTGTATATCGCATATCATAGTATACCTATCTTCCAATAGCGATAGCTCTCCGAACTTTCGACTTTTCTATTTCTATGCCTATACCGCTGATGTCGGGAACTTGTGATCACGTGACACGAAACCATATATCGGAATCATTATTGATTGCTATAGGATGTTATAAAGTACGGGATATGTTTATTTTATTTTATTTTTTCTAGTTTCCTGTAATAGATTATATAACAGTGATATTTTTATAATCTTCAAGTAAAAATTACAAAGTCTTATCACGAAATAATGTATTTGATAAGACGGTACTTACGTATTAACGCCACCGCGGCATAAATTCTGGTAACGATTTAGTCCTAATTTTTGAATTTTAAAGTTTTAGAATAATAACCCCTAACCACTTTCACGCACGTGAAACAGATATAAATAAAATATAAATATACTAACCTAACCTAATCAAACAATACGAAACGATTGTTAGTGTAGATCTGAATTAAAATGAAAATACGTAGAATAGATGAATAAAACAAATAAAAATAATTAAGATATGTATTATATTATAATTTCATACATATTTATTCACCGAGTGGATTACCAAGCCAAGGGTAGACACGCGGGCAGCGTAGACAGTTGTTCATGTTGAGGAGTTCCTGGAAAAAGCAGAATAGAATATGGAGGGTGAGACGGTAAAGAAAAGACTCCAGAACGTTGCGTTTAATTGATTGGTGTAACGGACATTATTACGTCATATTTGACGTATTATGCCAACGCGACGACGCTGTGTTGGACTAGAGATGCTGTATACAGTCGAACGGAGAATATTGTTATACATTCTTTCCCCTCTGAGCGTTTATACAGAGCAGAATATAAAATAGACGGGCCCATGTTACGTGACTCCAGACATTCTTGACGGTAGTAATAGTAGAGAATAATGGTTCGACAACAACTTTAATTCACATTAACAAGATCTTTGAATCAATTTAATCGTACCAGTTACGGAACACGGGGTATATTTGCCCTGGAAGTAAGTAAAACGTTGACGGGTGCTAACAGTGATTATTTCTTAGTTTTAATTTATTAGGTTCTAGCGGACCCCGCAGGCGTTCTCCTGAATGATATTTCAAGCGATTAGGATATTAAACAAAGTATGAAAGTAACGACTGCAGCGCCATCTGCCGGGCTGATTTGTGAATCAAAACCATCCAGGGCTCCACCCAAATGCATACAAAAAAAAACCGTCAAATCGGTCCAGCCGTTTAAGAGGAGTTAAGTGACATACGTACGTATATGTATATGTAAGCTATCCTATCAATATCATATTCAAATTTGATTGAAATCGGTTAAGTAATTTAGAAGTCCATAGCGGACAAACAACGTGACGCGTAATTTATATATATGTATAATAAGATAAGGCAATGCTGATGAAGGCCAGGCTGTTGCCCTTCCATCTCACTTTACAAAGGAGCTTTTGTTAGTTGATATTCCCGTCTGACTTGATTTTGATTTGAAGTTAATTCTGTATAAAAACGATTGAATTTGATCAGTATACCTACATTATAAAAACACTTTTTTACACCTATGTAAAAGTGGCCCTATAAGTCAAAATCGTCACGTTGTACTCAGTTTAATTATAATACATTTCGAGATTTTCAGCGTACACGTTGTATATGGCCTCTTCTCTTAGGCGAGAGGGAATGGTGTGTAGTCCCCACACTAGCCTAATATGTATTGGAGACTTCACATTCATCCATAGAACATAATATCTCTTGGACAGGGGCCCTCTTGGGTCGGGGGCCCGTGGTATTTTGCCACCCCTGCCACCCTATTGTTACGCCACTGGTTTTAACTTTAGTAAACCTCCACAACTGACAGTAAGAGACGACTAAATGGACTTACCGTTGTATGGTTAGATGTAAGACCAACGCAGGTAACAGATCTGCATCTTCGTCCAAGTGTCACCTCTCTGCAGGGTTTCTGAAGGTAATCCGCTAGTGATACAGGGTTCTGCACCCAGTCAAGGAGCTCGGATGCTGTTACCTGAAAGAAAATTTACTTATACTATATGGCAGTAACATATTTGCGTCTTTTTCGTTGACAGTGTTCTCAGTGAAATTGGTGGTCAGCCTGTGGCTGACATACGCCATTCTGGATCTATGACATGTCAGTTTCCTCCAGGAGTTTTCCTTAACCGGTCCACATATAGAGATAAATCCATTGATCATTGATGATTGATAGACAAATATTAGAGACTATTTAATTTACGAACCAATTTGACTTAAGGTGCTTCAAGAAAAGAGCGTACCGATTCTTAAAAGGCTGTCAACGCTCTTGCGAGCCCTCTGAGAGTTTAGGCGTCTATGGCCGGCTGTATTACTTAAGATCAAGTGAGCCTCCTGCCCGTTTGCTCCCTGATCTATAAAAAAGACTCCAAAGTGTAACTCTACCGGTAGTTTCAATTTCCTTACCAATGCGACATCGTTTATTGTGCTAAGCATGTCCAGGAATCTAACTAATGCCGCACGGAGACCAGGCCTGGTCCTCACTGGGCCCTCGTGGATGTAGAAGCCGAATGGGGCGCGATTTCCAAGGTAATGTCTTTCGAAGTTCTGTACGATGAAGCGAAACCAACCTTCGGTATCATCGTCTGCTGGTCTGAAATATTGAATTATTTGGTACACATTTTAAGCATAATTCTAAGAAATTGTAAGAAAAACTGCGAGTTCAAGTTATTGTGGTAACCTTTTTTTGGTAACAGCTGTTTTAGGTTTAGCTTTCTTTGCAGTGATCTGAGCATCTTCTACCGCATTTACCATGGAGAGTGTGCGGAGGAGAAATTAAGATAAAAGCGTATCAATTCCTAAAAGGCCGTCAATGCACTTGTGAGCCTTCGGGCAGTGTGTGTCCATGGGCGGCGGTCGTAACATCAGACGAGCGTCCTGCCCGTTTGCCCCGTGCTATAATATTAAAAGAGTGTCTAAGTTGAACTCCATAATCACGTACTAATTACTCAGTTCTCTACTAATGTTTGGTAGTTCCAACATGACCGCATCTGAATGAGAGTCTAGTATCACAGTCTACTGGACAGTAGATTTTTCAACTTTTGTTCTTTTTAATTACTTTATTATTATGACATTCTGTTTCAATTGGCGATAAAAAAGAGTGGCAGAGGGTTTCTTGCCATTTCGTCTCGCTCATCCTTGATTTGTTAATGTAAATGTAATGTTACATATAACCAATATGATTTTAAAAATGTTGATTTCATTTGATTTATCATATCTAAATGTACGACTGAAATCACTTGGTGCATAAGAATAATACTTACGCAGAGAAACAGGCGTCAACCATCGCACATTTGAATTGGTCTAGATCTGTCCATGCTACCATAGGAATTGCCCAGAGTCCAGGGAAGGAGGCAGTTGGGCACGGACCGCTGATGCAATCCTGGGTCGAGGCATAGTCTAACGTGTACGGCCACATACCAGGGTAGTCAAACTGGGTGGTAGGCATGGAAATGTCGTATCTAAGACCGGCCTCTTTCATAACTTCAAAGGATGCATTGCCCGCCATTTGTAAAAATGGCATGCGAATACCTGCAATTAAAATTAAATGTGAATGACTCACAACTGAATTCAACCATCTACGTTTTAAGAAATTATCTTTTTTTTCGCCATTTCGTTAATAGATATGAGTTTGGTGCATGTTACTGTAATTTTTGCTTATTTTACACCTTAATAATATTTCTTAACTAATACGGGGTAACAATGACATGCGTATAGCTTAAGGTGGGAACTGACCAACGTTACGAGGTGTAATGTAACACGTTAAACAGCGAGCATTCGTGCAGTCAGTACGTCGTGTTACGGGGAAACCAGCGAGCAACGAGCCGCTCGTTGCTCGCTTAGAGAGCTCCACCCGGCTGTCGGTTTTTCGGCGAATCCTTTGACTGATACGCGGCTCAGTCAGTACGCGTCGCACGTCGCGAGTGATCATGATTATGATTTTCTATAAATTGTGTCTTTTTTTAAGTACTTTTGGTCCAATTAAATTCACGAGTGGTTCAAAATCGATCGGAGACATGCGTACAAAGTTTTAATACTGTCCAGTAATCATTTGGTTTTTTAAAATTGCTGTCAATGACAAACCACCCCACACACGCCTCCGTTTTTAAATAAGTTTGATACCCAGTAACGTTTTTTCTTCTTCTTAATTTGGATGAAACAATAATTAAGTAGAATCAAAGATACCAACGCGTCCTCGCTGTCGGCCATCTCGTGAACACTGGCGGCGAAAGTGGAGCACAGAGTTTTGACGAGCATGTTACGCCGATTTTAAAACACAGCGTAACATGCTCGATGCGTAACACGCTCGATGCGAATGCTACATTACACCTCGTAACTTTGGTCAGTTCCCACCTTTACATAAATGCTGACAATTCATAAAGTAAACAATTTTACGATCGAGCCATGGCAAGTTCGGTCTTGTTTCAGATTTCTGTTACTGTTTCCTGATTAAAAGAGGCCTTGGTGCACAGCCGGAGTTCGAACCTACGACCTTCTTCTACTTTCTCGAAATGTCTATAAGACGTTAATCGACCATGTATCTGGTATACAAACTTTATTTTAAACATGTGTCTTCACTGAGACATCATGGAGCTAACTAATAAGTAATGTCTAACCTAATTTGCTATTAAGAAAATTAACATAAAGTGTCCAATAACACTACTTACAGTCACTATTAGGGAGAAGACACTCTGTTCTTGTGTTCTATTTTTTACTTACCGCTGTTTATCACTTAAGACTAAAGGCCGATTTACATTATCTTAGTGTTTAGGAGAGTGCTTTAGGATAGTACTTTAGTTGGAACATGTACGGTTCTACTTGACTTTCAAGTTGAATCAAAATAGAATCGCTTTTTATTTTTGTTTCAAGTGATACCCCTCTCGCGCCCGCGCACCCTCCGAGATCTTCCCTCGTTGTGTGTAAACACGTAATTTAGTCAAATCTTTAGGAGAGTGCATAAGTGCCGTGAAACGAGTGCGTGTTTTTTGATTTTTAAAGATGGCTAAATGGTCGGAAGATACAACTATCAAATTTGTGTCTGAATATGTTGTTCACGAATGTTTGTGGAACGTTAAAAACAATTTATACAAAAACAAACCGGCTAGGCATTCGGCATACACTGCCTTAAAAGAAGCTATTTTGTTTATTATTTATATTTAGTTTATTTCGAATAAAATCTCGTCTTCTATTTGTTCCATAACTACAGTTAGTTTTTTGCGTAGAATAGAGCGTATTTGCCGACGTCGTTGCGATTTCATTGTGGCGCTGTAATGATACTCTACTGGAAGAAATGTAAACGTTCACTCGCAACGCACTAAAGCACTAAAGAACTTGCCTTTCAAGTAATACTAAAGCACTCTCCTAAACACTAAGATAATGTAAATCGGCCTTAACGTACGCTAACACTAATTCACTATAGTATGTGCGCCGTAGCATGGTGTGGGTGACAGTTGCTTAATTTTTCGTTTCATTCTTGAAATCAAATTGAATCAGCGCACATAGTATAATGCTAATCGTTTTGTCCTTTTCAATCTTCTCACTAGCTCCGTGGTGTCAAGTAAATAAACTTAATGATAAACTATTATAATAGCTTTACGATGTAGGTAAAGAAATGTCTACAGATAATAGTAAAATAATGAATGTTTATGTTAACAATACCTTGTACTGAAGCTGCGGGAATAGCACCGAAGTTAGTAATAATAGTCTTCTGGTCTGCAAATTCTTTTCTGAGAAGTTCTTTATCAGCATTTCTGAAGTAATCCTGACTGTGATGAGATATCGAGTGCATTGCAATTTCAAATCCATTTGAGTACAGCTCATTTAATAAACGGTAGTCAGTATACTCGTGGCTAACGAAGAAAGTGGCACCAATCTGGCACTTGTTAAAGTTTGTACGTCCCACAAGAAGCGAACGGTAAGTATCTATATTACCAACGGTCACTGCATCGTCGAATGTGAGCAGTACGAACTGGAATTAACAAAGTACATTGTGTAAAACAAAAATCTTGGCGATAAAAAAAGAGCGGTGTGGAGTTTATTGCCAGTTCTTCTCTTCCGTTCTACGCCCTTGATTTGAGAACTGGCAGTAAATGTAAAATTAGAAGCACTTAATATGTATTTCTTTTTGACGTTCATTGTGTCACCTAAATGAATAATTAATGATTTTGATTTGATTCAACACGGCCTCAGTTGTATCCATAAGGTCATTTACGAAGAAGATTCTTTTGCAGATTTAGTTTGTGTGCACACAAATGCACTCACTGTTCTTTAACACTCGGGATGGGATGAAGGCCTGACAGTGTTCGGCGCAGGCCTCTTTATGTGCTACTCTTAGACCTGATGATCTACAGTCAAGTATACTAACCCCAAAGAGCTTTCTAAACCCTTCTTTTTATAATAATCAATTAAAGAAATGCGTCGTAAGGTAAAAGATCATGATAATTGTACCTGAGGGATCCTATGTGGCTCGAAACCTCCAGGAATATCGGTGCCAGAGCACCTACAGTCTGGTAGCTTACATTTCTCGGCGTCACACTCTTCCGCCAAAGGTAACTCTTGCGCAAGAGCTGCGATCACGCACGCAAATATCACCAACAACCTCATTTTGTATAAAACTTTTGATTAATCGTGGATTTTCATATTTATTGAGCCTTATCTGTGTCCAACGTATCTACCTTTTCCTTGATCAATATATATTATCAATTAAATTTACAAGATATTAGTAATTATCTTTTTTCAGTCGGTAACTAATTATGGTATATAAGCCTGATATTCTATATACCAATCATACATTACATACACACTCGAATTCCTTTAATCCTCTCCTTTTTTTAAATAGCTGACAGTTACTGACTTATAGAAAATTGTCTTGGACACTTGCATCTTACCTACTCTCACATCCGGCTGCCAAACGTGGACATACAACACAAAAATAATAACTAAAAAGCATGCCAGAATGCAATGGAAAGAAGAATAAAAAGCGAAAAAATAAGACGAAAAGTAAGTGATAGATGCTTAAAGTGGCAATGGGTGGCATATAGTAAGATAAAAGGACTTTAAAGAGAAACCAAAAAATGGTGGATCGAAGAAATAGAAGCGGTAGCAGGAAGCGAATGGAGAAAGAGGGCCATAGACAGAGTCAGTTGGAAAAAGCTGGAGGAGGCCTTTACCCGTGAAGGGGTTACGATCGACGGTACCTACTGTAGGTTGCTGCGATGTTATACCATTTAAAAAATCTAAGCTGTATATTCTTTTTAAAAATTGCTAAATTGTCAAAATACACTGCGGGAGAATTACTGCTTATCAATATACGAAATTTTATATAATATAATACAAATCAAGGACACAATTTATTAATTATATCAATTGTTTATTGTCAAAATACACTGCGGGAGAATTTCTGCTTATCAATATACCAAATTTTATATAATATAATACAAATCAAGGACACAATTTATAAATTATATCAATTGTTTATTGAATTGGCAATTTCTAATTTTTTTCTAGCATCGGGTTTCGTAATGAAGTACTCGTAAAAACAATTCTCGTTCTTTCGTGTAAGGTAATTCTAATATATCACATGAAATTAAGTTCCATTTTGAAATCAATTAACGACTATCGTGTCGGATTTTGTAACGCTATCGCCAGATAAAAATTCGGAAGAAGTATCAATATAATTATAAATTAACGTCTGATTATATTTTATATAATTGAGTGGTTTATAATCTTTTAATCTTATACGTATTTATTTCGTATAATACATTGCATCCGCACTTTATAGGTAGGAAAAAATTTAGCTATATAAAATAATGGATAAGAAATAATAATTAGTTTGTATTTGAGTCACAGTTACAGAACTAACGACATAAGTAGCGACATCTAGGTGACAAATAAAAACTGCGTTACACTGTGTTTGTGACGTGTTTTTTTATTCAACTACTAGATGGCGCTTATAACAAATACACACGTAAAGTAATTAGTTCACATTTAACTGGATGAAAATGTGTTCAAAACAATATGTACTTGGTATTATACTCAAATAATATAAAAAATCTAGTATTGGTAGTAATTACATGTCGATTTATCTTAAAAAAGAAAAAAAAAACATTTTAAAGCCCTTTGAAACGTAATTTACACTCATTTTTCGAATAAATACTCAATCTCATGTCTCAAAGAAACATTACCAATTAAAAAAAAATGTTTGTGCAGTAAATGATTTATTACAAACTTTTAATAAAAACCATTTTGTTCAAACAGTTCATCAACAGTTTCCAACTAGGTAGAGTGTGCCCACGGGTGGTTAGTATTAGAGTTGCGAACTTTTCACGGCTCTAATGGACGTAATGAAGAATTAAATGTACATTTTACTTCAAGGATTTTTGATGGACAATACCGTTGACAAGTATTAAAAGGTCTCTATAAAATAATCAAAGATTTATTATTATTTAAATATAACAAAAAATAAAAGGATTCTTCAACTCGCAAATTTTTAGTCTTGTTCATATTTATACAAATCTAAAACCTTAGCTTTCCGAGACTTAAGCCGGTTGCAGACCGAAAACTAAGCTATGCCAAGGCTAAACTAAGCTATGCCAAGCATGCTAGGCTAAGCTAAGCTAGAAATAAATAGCGTGCACACCAACAGCTAAGCCAAAGCTCAGTCAGTGTTGAGTCAGCACTGGCGAAGTATGTGCGGGGTAGCGGGAGTGGCTTAGCTTAGCTCGTGTAGCTGCGCATCGGCATACACAACTAACTTAGCTTCGCATATTTTAGTTAGCTCCCATAGCTTAGTTCGCATAGTTTGCGGTCTGCACTCAAGTATGGAAAACTGCGTCAGCTATGCCAGCTAAGCTAAACTAACTTAGCTTAGCTCTTGGTCTGCAACCCGTATTAGAGGTAGGGAAAAAGGAAGAATTTAATGAATTTCATTGACATTAAAATTTAATTTTACAAATTTATTTCTTTGATAATAAAACACGTGGAATTTAAATTTAAATTCATCATTTGAGGTTTCAATAAATTATTTTGCATAAAATATTAAATACAAATATTTCATAAATTCTCTGTACGAGATTTTAATTTTAAAAATAGAATTTCTAAAAGGTAATTCACCCTTCTCACTATCTCTCAATCGGTCTCAATCGCTCTCGCCTTTTTCTTCGACAAAAACTCTGCACATCTACGTGACGTTTCATCCGTAAAAATTTTACCCTCATGCGCTAAAGAAGTTTCACTTCAAAAACCGTTTCTATGTCTAATTTTGTTTGTGACGGAAAAACATATCAGCCTAAATAACCGTGTATCCCGCACAGACCTATATCTTACCCGACAATTATTTATAATATATATGCAGAAATAGTTATAAAAATTCTTTATTTGCAAGATTATGGTGTAGGTAAAATAATATGATTGTACAATCTGATTTACTTCGCAAATTCTGCCACACACAATGGCGTGCAAATTTCTCTTATATAATTTATAATTATTAATTACATTATTAATTATAAATTATTGATGCACTATCCTATTGCAAAAAACTTACAAAAAAGTGGAAATGGGCTACCAGGAAAAAGAAAGCGTGGTCGCCCTCTCGCACGGTGGGAAGACGAGCTTAAGAAAGTTGGTGGAGAGGATTGGGAGATAAATGCTCAAAACATAGAGAGATGGAGTCAATTGGAGGAGGCCTATACTCAATAGAGGTCTATAGGTATATGTATGCATGCATATATACATGTATGTAATATATATTGTATATATTTATGTATGTGTTTTGTGTGTGTGTGTATATTTTGTAACTTTTTGTAAATTTTTCAAGGAATAAATGAGGCTTAATTAATTAATTAATTACATTATTAAAGTTACTTATTACATTATCACCTTAATATAAATCTTAAATAGAGCGTGACAAATTCTACAAACACGGCGGCTAACAAACCATTATGATGAGCAAATGATTTATTTGCGTTTATTAATGATATTTTTTTATGTTTTCATCCAGACATCGCAATATTTTATGTAATAGGTTAACAAAAACTTATCAGTATGCGATTATATCCTGGACCTAGTGATTACATTTTATCAGATAATTCTATAATCATAACAAATATTTCTTAGAATTCTTTATTTAGTAATTTCCTTGGAAAAAATATTTTTTTATCATTCAAGGTTAGTCGTAGTTAGTAGGCTAGTATTAACTTTTGACTTAGGCACATATTATTATTTAAAAAATCAAATACTTTTACATTTAAACACATTTCTTTTTCAATCTTCTTTTAGGTGCCCGTTTGCCGTTTTTTGGCAAAGGCCTCCTCCAAATTCCGTGGAACTGCTACTTGGTTAATTTGGTCTACCTTCTAAGTTGTTGTTCCTCTTTTTCCTTTTATGTACTAATTATTAACGTGTTACTAAAGAACTTCGTTAGAATTGGGTTTATATAGAATATAATTATACATGGAAGCCTAATTAGGTTCTGCAAGATTTAAAACGTTTTTCACATACCTACGGAAGTCACATATAGCGCTGTCTCTTTTCTGAATATCACTTAGGTGATGGTAACACGAGCAGTGTTGGCCTAGTGCAGCGTGCGACTCTTATCCCTGAGGTCGTAAGTTCGATCCCACACGTGCACATTTATCATTCGCTCGAACGGTGAAGGAAAACATCGTGAGAAAACCGGCTTGTCTGGGACCCAAAAATAGACGGCGTGTGTTAGTAGTCAGATCACCTACTTGCCTTTTGAATTGATAAATTATCATGAAACAGATACATAAATCTGACGCCCAGACCTAAAAAGGTTGTGGTTGATTTGTGTTTGAAGTTATACTACTTTTGACGCGTTAGGGAAAAATTATGAGAGTAATTTTTTACGATGCGCGCGCACACCGTCACAAAAAACCGACACCCGTATACCGTCACAAGACCGGTAAACAGTTTGGGCCGTTAGTTGGCGCTTGCTCTGTGTGCTAACATGGGTATTTTTTTAATGAATAAAGTAAGGTTCGACTTAGTAACAGAATTACAGAATGTAGGAAATGTAAGAAAATATACTATTCAATTAAGAAACCAGTATAAAAGCCAATTGCGTTACATCCCTTGTTCTTCACTCAAATTCATGTACCTATTTCTTGATCACTTTTTGAGACCCTAATCAGGTGATCAGACTTTTGAGCCAAACAGAAAAATTACCGTACCGTTGTAAAATTTTGTTGTCAGACATGCTGATTTCCTACGATGTTTTTCTTCACCGAACAAGCGAGTTGGAGCTGAATGATGTGTTCTTCCTTCGACCTAAAAGTAGGATCCTCAACTAGTCAAACCACTGACTGGCACTTAACGGAAACTCTTCGTTCGTCGACGCTATCGTATTAAATACATAGAAAGAAAAGTATTTTGGTGTACAGGTGGGATTCAAACGCACGACTAGAGCTGACCATTTAAATGACACTATCTGGTCAATATATTAGCCTTGTTGTATGTACAAAAAAATATAAACGATTTTAAAACAAATGGTGACTTTCGCCAGTATAATACTCGAAACATAACTAATTTGAGTGTACCAACCAGGCTCCAGAAGATAAACAACTCTTTTTATGGAAATTGTATTC